TGCAGTTACCACCGCAGAACAGAGGACAAGAGTTACAGAAAGTGAATATGGACACTCGCAATCCACGATATCTAGGAGTGTCACAACATGAATGCTTATGAATAAACTCTACTTTCAGATGAAGTTTACTCAGTCACATTAATCAAAGTCCAAATCCTAACCATCAGGTTACTTGAGTATATTCAATCACTTCAAACTGATGTCAAATCCAGATCATCAGGTTATAATTTTTTGTTTAACTGAATGACTCGTTAAAGTTATTCAATCCTTTGCCTCACATTAAGCCTTCGACAGCCATATCTAACAAATGGACTAGGTTAAACCGTCATTATCGATTACATCAAGTGAAGTTGTATTTTGTTGTGGAAAAGAGTTTCGATATTTCATATAAAAGGAAATCATAGAAACCGTACCACCACAATGCACTGAAAGGGAACCATCTTTCAGTGGTTGAGCTGCAGCACTTTTTTTAATATTCTCAATTGAAAAAGAAACCAATTCAGGAATATGTTCCACACCAACAGCACGGCCTTGAGGTCCTACCATCAAGGCAAAGCATCCAGTTAGGTATCCCGTTCCTGCAAAGGGTCCAAAGTATGAATAGTTTGCATCAAATGCAGAGAATAAAGAGAACGAAGGCACTAGAAGTTTGTTCCTGTTATATAGAACATCATTTAATTCTGTATTGCACAAAGGAACGAACAACATTGCCACATTGAATTGGGATTATGCAAATCTGAGAGTAATGGTGCTATCAGTACAAAAAATCAAGGATTTTTACATTATAAATCTCCACATCTACCTTCTACAACCTCATTAAGGGAAGGAAATAAAGCATTCACTATTTTCTGCACACCCTTGCCAGTACAGCCACCATCAACATTTTATGTAGTCTATCCATGACTAGTAAACAACAAATCCACTACAACAATAGTAGTTGAATAAATTTATTTCAAATAAGTTTTGTTTTTTTCATTTCTCTTTAATAAATTAGAAAAAAAATATAATAATAGTAGCAAGAAAATAGTTCATAGACTATACCAGAGCCAACGTCCAGAGCACGCATCCCAGGCTGCAAATTCTTCTCCAGCAACTGAAGGCACGTTGCATGCATATGTGGCGCAGAGATAGTAGCATTGTAGCCTATCGGCATAGGACTGTCAACATAAGGTTGAAGTCCACCAGGCACAAACAAAGCTCTATCAATGGTTTCCATTACTTCACCTACCTTTCTGGAAGAAATAATTCCATAACTCTGCAAATTATCTACCATCCCTTTGTTCTCGTTGAGGGCACTTCCAGACCAGTATTGCTGAATTTTTTTGAAAAAAATATATTTACTTTAGATTACTTCTAGTTTTAAATATTACAGAAAATAAGAGGATAAACTAAGAAAGCACAAGCATGTAGCTCCCGTTATTCCTTTTATCTGAACTGCACCCCTATGGTGAGCAATCAGAGAGAATCAAAAAACTAAATTTATGGTATAAAAGCAGAAGGGACCCAGAATCATCATCGGCCCTAAATGAGTAAACAGTTCATACAAATACACTGTAATTGAACATGCATAACACTGGTCAACACTAAAAGGAAGCCCAATAACCATTGTAAGTTATAATACGGAAGACGATGTTTATACTCCTAAACGCGAATTAACATAAAATTCCAGTCATGATGAATATGTTCAAAATTCAAACAGAATGAGTTTACACACACTCAAGGAGCCGCTCCTCAAGTAATGCAGTTGAAAGACGGAAACAAATTCATAATTTATGAATTAAGTAGCTAAGTTTTAATAAAAGTTGAGAGCAATACAAGGATTCGACGTAAATGAGGGAAGAAAAGACAGGAAGCTGTTTCCGTCGGTGAGGAACTATGTTCGACGATCGATCGCAGTGATAAACGACGAAGAAAGAGAAAGGGGTTACCTCCATCGTATAGAAAATAGCGTTCTCCGGAGCGAAATTAGGGTTCAGGGATCAGTAAGGATTTATTGTTACAGAGCGACACTGATGCAGTAATTGGGACAGGTTTAGATCATTGTTTTGCGTTTAAAGAACGTCGGTGTTTTTCGGTGTCTTGTTCAGTTGTAGTGCTGCAGTTTGGTGCCGTTGGCATGATGCCATCTTTCTTTTGCCACTTTACCTCACGCTTCCTCTTCACTAAGGGTACGTGGGCTTTTTATTAAGTTACATTTGGTGCTGGCTTTTCCTGCACCTCCTCTTTTTCTACCTACACCCTATAATACTTATAAATCTCAAATTATTTCTCATGAAAATTATAATAAAAGATAAAAATATCTCTACACCTCTTATTTTTTAATGTATTCTAAGTTCTGAAAATTAATTTTGGATTTACATTTTCAAATTATTATATAATCCCTGATATATTTTAAATTGTGTAATTTAAAAAATATTTTTGAATTCAGATGTATGTTATGAATTTTAAATATACTTTTTAAATATATTCTAAATTGTGCACAAACCTTATAGAGATAATGCATTCTAAAACATTCCGTGTATTGTTGAGGAAACAGCCAAAGCAAAGGGAGAGAGAAATTGAGAAGCCATTGGCGTCTGCCTTCGCGTTCAAAGACCATCTCATCTTTGGTCTTGCTTGTGCTTCCTCAAGCAACCCCTCACCTTTGGTTAGTGTTTCCAGATTTAAAAAAATATTTTGAATTATATAATTCCAAATGTATTAAAAAAAAGTTGGAGGAGGATTTTTGTCTTTATATTAAAACTTTAATGAGGAGTAATTTGGTATTTGTGAGTATTATAGGTGTAAGAAGAAAAAAGGGAAGTGTAGAAAGAAGCAACCTCGTTTTCATAAAGAGATATTGGACTTTATATAAGTTGGGTTTACCTTCTCTTAGTTTGGAGTGTTTCATCCTACACCTCCAAGATCTCATCCTGTACCTCCAAAAATTCCACTTTTAACTTTCTGACATCTCATCATCATCCTGCACCTCCAACTTTTTCAAAACTTTATTTTTAACTTTAATAAATATTTTTCCATTTTCTTTTCTTTTTTATTAAAAATAATCTTCACTACCTTAATAATCATTTAATTTAATTTATTTTAAAATTTAAATATTATTTAAAATAATTTTGTATTTTAATAATTATTAAAATATAATTTATATTATAATAATAGTTATATTAAAAACATAAAAATAAAATAATAACAATAATAAATAATAATAAAAATAAATTTGATTTAATATATTCAAATATATTAAATTATAATAAAATATTAAAATAAATTAAATAATTATTAAATTTTAAATAAAAATGAAAATTTTAAAAAGTTTATTTATATATTAAAATCTATAAAATATGTTAATACTTTGCTTTTTATTTAAAATTTAATAAATATTAAACTTAAATAAAAATTATAATATAATAACTAGAATAAGAATAAAAATAAAAATAAAAACAATATTTAAAATCATATTTAATATATTTAAATATATTAAATTATATTAAAATATTAAATTAAATTTAATAATTATTAAAATATAATTTATATTATAATAATAGTTATATTAAAAACATAAAAATAAAATAATAACAATAATAAATAATAATAAAAATAAATTTGATTTAATATATTCAAATATATTAAATTATAATAAAATATTAAAATAAATTAAATAATTATTAAATTTTAAATAAAAATGAAAATTTTAAAAAGTTTATTTATATATTAAAATCTATAAAATATGTTAATACTTTGCTTTTTATTTAAAATTTAATAAATATTAAACTTAAATAAAAATTATAATATAATAACTAGAATAAGAATAAAAATAAAAATAAAAACAATATTTAAAATCATATTTAATATATTTAAATATATTAAATTATATTAAAATATTAAATTAAATTTAATAATTATTAAAATTTTAAAAAAACAAAATTTTGAAAAATTTGTTAATCGGATATAGATATCCGATAAGTTATAAATCGGATATCCATATCCGATAAAGAGTTTTTAAAATTTTATTTTATATATAAATTTTAATATATTTAATTTAATTTAATATTTTAATATAATTTAGTATATTTAAATATTTTATTTAATATAATTTTATTTGTTAAATAACTGTTTTAAAATTTTGTTTATTATTTAAATTTTAATAATTATTTAATTTAATTTAATATTTTAATATAATTTAATATATTTGAATATATTAAATATTTTATTTAATATAATTTACTTTTTTGTTATTATTTTTATTTTTAATTATTTTATTTTTATATTTTTAATATAATTATTATTATAACATAAATCATATTTTAATAATTATTAAAATATGAAATTATATTAAATAATATTTGAATTTTAAATTTAGTTATTATTAAGGTGATATAGAGTCTTTTTAACAAGAAAAAGAAGAAAATAAAAATATATTTATTAAAATTAAAAATAAAATTTTCTATAAAGTTAAAGGTGTAGGATAATGATGAGATGTCAGAAGGTTAAAAGTGAAATTTTTGGAGGTGCAGGATGAGATCTTGGAGGTGTAGGATGAAACACTCCTTAGATGATGAAGGAGTTTCTTCTTGCATCTTCGTAATTTCCTTTAAGCAATTTGAAAGTATAAATTACTTTCAAAAATGCACAATTTAAAAGTAAAAAAAAAAACTTTTAAATGGTATAATTCGAGAGTTAAAAATGATTTATAAACTGAGTGATTTGATTTTTTTTTTCAAAAAATATTTTGGAATTATATAATTTGGACGTTATTTGGCTTTTGAATTAAAAATCTGAGTCTTTTGGCTTTTAGATTACATAATTCAAAACTTATTTTTTTGACTTTTGAATTGTATAATTTGAAATTCTTTTCTAATAAAAAAATGGCTTCACAATTTTGACGTTATTTTTAATTAATGATTTTACTCTTTTTTCTTCGGTATAGCAAAAAGAAATTACACTTCTTACATGAACTAAATGAAAATGTAGACTTCAACTTCAAAATAGTTAGATAAAGCGAGTGAAGGAACAACTTCAATAGTCAGTTTTCATCCCTTTAAATGTCCCTGGAAAGAATTAGTTGTATACGACATCTTCAGACCAACCAATCTTAATGTCCTTTCTACTAAATTGATGATGCGGGGAAGTAGAAATTGCATATAAGGATTTCAAATGAATTAGAAATCTAATAGTAACTGAGGAAGAATAATCTCAAGATGAGTTGGCTCTATTTCACTAGCACCCTCCGCTTCTGCAACAGCAGCAGCACGTTGAACAGCCTCTGCATTAAGAGAAAGGTTTATGTCAAGGTTAAAAAGATTATGAGCAAACTTATAGTCAAGACCAAGCAGGCACAATGCGTTTCTCTTTTAAGAATAAACCTGTGATAAATAGCCGGAGAAGTTCACAGGTAAGCTTCAGAGTATTGCCATTAGCTGGATTAGAAACGATGAAGAAATGAGTAAAACAAGTCAATGTTCAATTTGCAATAACAAAACCATGGCGTGACGTGATCACAGAACACCCCCCAGAGAATAAATCCATCAATAGAATGAAAAATGGAGACATGGCATAAATACCAGAAGTTGTGCGACTCTTCTTGGATGTTCCAACTCCTACCTGTGGGAGTAAACCCAATGCAACAGTGAAGCAAGGGATATCATGTAGTTGAAGAGAATAACTAAAATATTAGAGAATGTAGATTCTACTTAGGATGTTATTGCTGTTGATGGCACCCAGTCAGCTATAGATTACAAAATATACTATGAAAAACAAGATATTCGTTGAACTAGATATATACTATGAAGACAAATATAGCAAAACCTAAAAAGTGAATACAAGAAATTGAAAGGGGAACAACCAGAGCCAATTCCCTCGCCAAAAATTTGGGGAAGGTTGTATTTTACAATGTGATGTGTTGAAAAAATTACGCACTCCTTGTATTTCATGCTTGCTACAGAGATCTCTCATCTGACAAAATCCAACAAAAAGCTTCCTTGCATACACAAAATAGCTTCACAACTATCTCCAAACATTTATCAACGGCCAAAATTTCTTAATCAGATAGCACATTCTCTACATTGAACTTTTCGGTTCATTGTCATTCAGGGTTATATGATCAGAGTTTCAATTATAATTTTCTTGAAGAATGCGACCAAAAGTAACGATTGAATAAGATTTTGTGACAAGCGTATTCGTATGCACCAAATCAACAGACACTGAAGTATGATGTGTAGGCACCATGTAGCTAATAAAGCGGTTGAACTTGAAATACCTCACGAACAAGACTTACAAAACAACAAATGAACAAAGCATGAGATAAAATAAAAGGGAAGAAACAAATGGTAAGTTTGCATTGCCAATAAGTGGATCACTCTTGAACGAAAAACAAATCATGGGACTGTACCATATGTCAATAGGGACAATAGAAGAGACCATGGAAATAACCTAAATCAGTAACAAAAAATGACCTTACGTCACTTCACACTACTATAAATAAGAACAAGGACACTAATAAGGACATAAATGTGATTGCCAAGGTTTCTAAAAAGCTACAGAAACGTAGTATCAAAATTAAAATCCAATGCAGTAAACTTAACAGAATCCTAATATATGAGCAGATCTGCTTTTTTTTTAATCGTAAGAATCGGGTAGTTTAGCGAAGTAATTATTGGAAATAATAGCACAAAACAATCCCAAATTTTCGAAGTCCCACAGCACAACAAGGGAAATTCAGAAATTATATCGTTGTGAAGAAACAAACACAAACAAAAGGGTTACGAGGAATAGAAAAAAAAAAGAAATGAAATGAGAGGAAATTGCAAAGAACCTCGGAATCCGGAGCGTCGTTAGGTTCAACATTTTCCCGCTCTGAAAATTGGAACAGAAGAAAAAGAAGTTAGTGATTGGGGTAAAGTGGGAAGGAAAGCAGAGTAAGAGAGAAGAAGTGTGGGACCAAGGGTTCGCAGTGTCCAAAAGCGCTTCAAAATGGAATGAATGAGATCCTGTTACCCAATTTGAAGGAAGAAGTGAGGTATACAGAAAATCAATACATCAATTGCCTTGTAAAGAGAGAGTAGGAAAGGGTTTTAGGGCTGTACACACTCCAAGGTCACTTCCTCCATCGTAAAGCTATACTTTCTGTGCTATTCCGATCACCGCCACAGCCTTCACCAAACACGCCTTTGGATTTGGAGGCAAATAAAATGACACAAGAGTCAGAAAACTAGCTACTGTGCGGTTACTTCCTCAACATGTTTGGATGGGAATCTCATTTTACTTCGCATAGTTTGCCGCCGCGGAAAATTAGAGCAAAAAAAAAGGTATATGAGAAAATAAAATAACAGCGCTTAATTAAGTTTAAAATTTATGATAAATTTATATTTTTTTATTAGGTTTTTATTAAATTTTCTTAAAATTTATTAAATATTAAAATTATATTTTTAATTAATTTTTGTTGTTTAATTCTTCTGCTAATTAAGTAATGTTGTTGATGTTTTGTTTAGCTATCTTATTTATTTATTTTTATATATTTAGAGGTGACTCATTATGTAAATACTATATTTTTATCTATATTTTTATTTTTGTGGAGGTGATACTAAATTAGTATTTTTTTTTAGCATCATTGCATCAAATGTTTTACTTTTGTCAATGCAAAATTTATTAGAAAATAGTGTACTTTAAGTTTAACTTGTACAATTAATTTGTAAGATAAGATTTGTACAAATATAAAATCGTTTTATTTATAGTTAACGTGAGATTTCTAATACAATATCTTAAACCAAGACATATGTCTTTTAAGTGCGAATGAAACATTAGTAGGTGATTTGATAGCAAGAAACACGATAAATTTATCAAATGAAAAATTTCACTAAGAGTAGTTAAATCCATAATTCTGACACCATGTTAAAAAGTGAATTTTAAGTTAAATTTAATTTTACCAAATCAATAATTAAAAAGATAAAATTAAAAAAACAAAAAGTATGTAGAATTATAAATATATGTATAAATAAAATAAATTTATAGTTTTTAAAATAAAAATATTATAATAATATTGTGTAAATAATTTTTTATTATTAATAATTATTTAAATTTGAAAAAATAGTTACTAAAATTATTAAAGTATAAATAATTATTAGGGTTAAATATGTTTTTAGTCCCTAAACTATTGGCCATTTCTGGTTTTCGTCCCTCTTCCAAAGTAAGGTACAATTTGGTACTCATTCTTTAGAAAAACGTTCGTTTTAGTCCTCAAAATTTTGTTTTTAGTCCTCGTTTTAGTCCTCAAAACGTTCGTTTTTCGACTAAAACGAACGTTTTTTAAAGATTGAGGACTAAATTGTACCTTACTTTGGAAGAGGGACGAAAACCAGAAACGGTCAATAGTTTAGGGACTAAAAACATATTTAACCCTAATTATTATATAATGAGTAATTATTTGAATTAAAAAATAGTTATTAAAATGATAAAAGTGAAAAATATTTTTTTATTATAAGTAATAATTTAAATTGAAACAGTAGTAATTAAGAAAATAAAATAAAATAAAAATGACACCAAAAAGTGTATCCTCTTTAAGTATAATTATAGACGATGATTTGTAATTAAAATTAGATTTCTATTTCAATTATTTATTCAATATTAAAAGTATTTGTTGCTTATCATTAGGATGTAGTTTAATTTTGTTAAAAATAAGCATTAAAGTCACATATGATATTTATTTAAATTTCATTGTCATATTTCTTAATGGAAATTTGCTATATGGAACATTTGGGTTTTCAAAAACCCATTGGAAACCAAATTATAACCCTAAGCATTTGATCCTCTACTAGATTGATACTTAATGGCTATTAAAGAATATAGTATAAAAAGTATTAATTTATATACCCGAATTTAAAATTCACGAACAAAAAAATTAATTTAATGCAAGTTAATAATGCCTCGCTATACTTCCAACAAAACCTCTTCTATAGATACTCAGTATATTTTCTTGCCCAAATAGGAGAGACAGAACGTAAAGGGGGAAAAAGTAGTTCATAAATAAATTCGTGAATGCATTCGATAAAAGAGAAATAAAGAAGTTGTTACTTGTAACGCATTTTTTCATATTTTTATTTATTTTCCCTATTTCCACTCACTTTATTTATTTATTTCCTTTTTATGAAGTCAATCCATAGGAAAATAATTGTTTACCACTCTGAACTGCTTCACTGCAACAAACAATTCATTCAATCTTTACCAAACACAGTGGGCGAAGAAACAAAATAAAGAAAACAGAAAGGCATATAAATAGTATTATTTTTTTATGAATAGAAAGTTACAGATTTTTTTCTTTTTTTCTCATCTCGATTCTACTCTAGCTCACGTAGCCTATAGAATTACTTTAGAATATCAAATTCGAGTCCGAACTATTTGAAACTAACTTTCTCATTCAGCTTTAAAAAAAAGAACTTTTTGAATTAAAATTCAAAACAGTCTCCCATTTTTGGGAGAATATTTGGAAAAAATGACATAGTGTAAGAGGTTATGAATTCAGTAAGAGTGGCGCAAAAGGGTAAAGGAATCAAAAGCTTATGATTCCCAAGGAAGTGGGAGGATTACCATGGAAGCATGAATTGCAAGCTGTTTCCTCCATGGTCTAGGGATATGTGGTGATCCATGGTGCTGGAGTTTAGACAACGGATCTGCTTTCAACACACCCAACCGCTTTTTTCTTATTTCTATCTAATCACTATTTAAATTTAATTACATTACATGCATATTAAATACTAAGAAACAAGTGGTTGGTCGTATCTTTTCTGGACAACATAGAACATTTTAGTATTTCAGAATTTTCAGACTGTAATCTTGTTTTGTGCTTTTTTCAATTGTTAATAAAACCACAACCGCCACCACATCACGTTTGTTGCATGCATTTTTTTATGCTGCATTTTTTCAAACTCTGCACAGATCATTTTCTTCGAGTTTTGTTTTATCTTTTAGATTTCTGCAACCAATTTTCTTTCATCTTACAACAATATTTGCAGATTATTTATTTAAAGTTCACTGTCAATGTAAATATAACTTTTACAACAAGATCGAGATCTACTTGAAATTGGAAAGAAAATATAAGCATGCATAGCATCATATCATATCAGACGAGCTAATTACAAATTTTCCTAATTATTTTGATGTAATTTACGCACAGGAACATTCCTTCAGTAGCACAAAATGGACTTAGGGAGTCAGGTTAAGTTCTGGATTTAACTATTATGTATTGCACACTCACAATTCGTATCAGAGTTTTAACCTAGCCAACTAAGAGCGTGCTCAAACGGTGCATTAGGTACGCACAATCAGGCCGAACCAAACAACTCCCACACCTTAATCTCCCCGTCTAGGCTTCCACTGAATAGCCTAACGACGCCGTTTGAGTCATCGTCACCTCCCGCAAAGGCCACCAACGACTTCACCGGTTTCTCGTGCCCTTCCAACACCGCCCTGCAACTATACCCACTCCTCCCTCTCTCCCGTTGCCAGATCCTAACCGTTAGATCCGCGGACGCACTCGCCAACAAACCCGCCACGTGGATAAGACACAGTATGGCTCCACTGTGACCCCTCAACGTCTCCATCTTCACCGAGCCGTTTTCCTCGCACCCCCACTCCCATCGGCATATCTCGCCGTCGCAACCGCCGGAAAACAACCCTGCGCCCCCGCCGTCCAACGCAAGCGCATTCACCGTCGACTTCTGCCTTCCAATGGTGCTCACCAACACGTGCCGTTTCCCCTCGCAGTCTCTTCTCCAAACCTTGATGCTCCCATCCGCGGACGCGGTGTATACGACACCATCTCGATTAACAACCAGAGCGTTGATCGCGTCCTCATGCGCTTTGACGGACTCCAAACACCGGAAACTGAACAAGTCCCAGACCTTAAAGCTCTTATCCCACGAAACCGAATACATGAGCCTCTGGTTCACGGCTAAACCGGAGACGGTGTCGCAATGCTGGATCCAGAGCCTGGACTTGTGGCGGCGCACGCTGACGTAGTTTCGGGGAACGATGCAGCGGCGGAGACGGTCGGTGACGGTGGGGAGGGAGGAGAGGAGACGATGTCGTTTGGAGGGAGTGATGAGCCAGACACGAATCTTGCGGTCTTGGTGAGCGGTGAAAACCCTCGAGTTGGTGAAGGCGATGGACTTGACAAAGCCTGAGGCAGGGCTTTGGTTGAAGGCGTCGATGTGGGAGTAATGGGAGAGGTCGAAGACGTTGATGAGGTTTAGGGAGGCGGCGTAGAGGAGGTTACGGTGGACCGCGAGACAGGTAATGTGGGGTGTTAGGGTTTTAAGGGAAGCCACGCACCGTTGTTGGAGCGTTGCGGAATTGTTCATTTTGGAAGTGAAGGGTGGAGGAGGGTGGAGTGAACGAAGAGGGAGTAGCTGAAGCGGGAACATAAGTAGTGGTTGGGATTGGTGTTGTAATGGCACGTGGCATATGTGTGAGGCTATACACTTGGCAAATTCCGAATGCTCCGCTCAGTACCTTGGTGGGGTAATAAACCAAGTGGTGGGCTCCACATACGATTTGTTGGACCCTACAAATCACGTTAGTCAACCTGGTGCTTCTGCCCAATGCAAATAAGGAAAAAAATGCAGAAATTTTATATGCAATGCAACAGTGTTTCGGTTTTCTTATGTATTACATTTATTCAAATTATTATCTTGCAATTTAAGGAACATTTAATGTCAATATTAATTGCATTTGTTATTAATAAAATATAGATTCATCCAAAACTCTTCCGGACTATAAACAATTAAATCCACTTATTAAACAGAGATGTTAACATTTAATTGAACTAATTTCATACGAAAAGTAAAAGTAAAAGATGAAAACAAGTATCTTTTAGCTAATTCATTAATTGTGACAAAATTAATTAAAAATTACTGAATATATGAGAATCTTTTTCTTGTTATCTAAAATCTAAAGAAGTATTATGAAAAATTCAAATTCTTTCTGGGCATAACCATAAAGAAAACAACCTCAAGGGTCATGTTGTATCTTTTAGTTTTATACATTAAAAAATTATCACCTAAATCATATATACATAAATTTAATATTAATATAAAATTATTTTATGTATAATTTATATAGATCAAAACTAACATAATGTAAAAATTTGAAAATATTTGGAATAAGTTATTTAATCACTTTATGACTTGTTATTAGTGTTATATTTTAATAAATTTTGTTACGAATAAGTTAGAATTTAGGAATCAATTGATAAAATATATTTTAATAAGTAATTTGATTTTCCACTTATATATATATATATATATATATATATATATATATATATTCACTTTTATTAATTTTATAACATTTTTTTATTAGATTATCGTTTCTTTCATACCTAATTGAGAGAATAATTTTTTTTTGCTATAAATCATAGGTGTAAAATTTTGTATTAGTATAAAATTATTTATTGTTTCATTTATATAAATATGATATATTATATACATTTTTAAATGGTTATATTATATACATTTTGTATTAATTTAAAATTATTTTATGTCACAATTATAGTATATATACATTATATTTGATCATCTGACAGTTTTCATTTAGTTTTAACATGCATAATAATATAATTTTCTTAACGAATATCAGAATTCACTTTTATATAAGTTTATTATAATATGTAAAAAAAGTTATAACAGTTTAATTTGATCTGTATATTACCCTGTGTAACAAACCAGTTGAATAAAAAATAGAATACTACTAAGTGATCAATTATGATAATTTTTTTTAAAGAATATCATAATATAGTACAATAACTATTTGGATATAACTTACCTTATTTTAATATATAATTAATGTACTAATATTTTTAATATATTATCTAATTTCCTATTATATCACTTTTATACTTTATAGACAAATTTGACGGTTATTTATTACTATTCTTCATCTCTCTTAATTTTATGATAAATGGATAAAAGAATCGAAACGTTTATTAGTTCGACAAGGAAAGAACATGAATGAAAGAATGAAAAAAAAAGTAATTTTAAGCTTAAAATTAAAATTAAAAATCTATTTTTTTTTAAATTATAGAAGGGTCTAGGGTGCTGTCCACAGTAGATAGGATTGTAAATTACATTATTATTGTTGTTATTTAATGACGTATGATATTGATTAAAATTGTACCAATATCAAGAAAGCGTTTGTGCTAAAAACTTAAAAAAGTTAAACTAATTAGCTGTTAGCAATAGTTGTAAAGGTTATTAGTTGGTAGTTGATTATAATTAGTGAATAAATTAATCAATGCATATATATAATTGGATAATAAAATTGGAAAATGTTGTATATGTATCTATATGTGGGAAGTGAAAATGCTATAATACATTAGGATAGCTCTATTGATGTTTATTCGATCTAGCTGGCTAGGTCGTCCATTATTACTTCAAACAATGGAGACACACACATGATAGTGAGTTAAATTCTATTCTTTTTTAAAAGTGTCATCATTACTTCTCTTTCTATATACTGTTTTACGTTAAAAATTTCCAACCAATTCTAACTTTCTTATTCATCCACTTTAATTTAACCTTTCTTCATTCTTTACAATTTTCACATCTTTCTCTTTCTCACGTAATTATGCTCATTTTCTCTTAGCTTGTCAACCCTTTTTCATTGGCAAGTTTCTTTATCAACCTTCGTTTTCACTGAAATCACATTATTCTGTGTTCTAAGAGGCATCATCATATACCAAAGGCGAATGTAAAATTTTATAAAATTTTCTTGACTAAATGTCTTAATTATGTTAAAAGTTCCATATTTAAAAAATTTCAAGTCCTTTTCGCTATAGTTAAAAGTGTCACCATATATTCTTGCATTACCTTAAAGAAATCCCTAGACATCGACAGTTACTTTATTTCTTTTATTTTTTAAAAGTTTAACTTTTATATATATTATTGCTGTAATAGGTATTTTCACCTGGTTATAACCATATAAAAATCATTTTAGATATGAGTTAATAATTATTACAAAAAATTATTCTATTTTACACGGCAATGTAAAATTAAATAATACATGAAAAAGTATTTATATGATGAATGTATCACACTTTACATTCAAACCATGAACGTATTCCAATTTTAATACTTAGTCTCGCAAGATGTTTCCCTACGTAACTCATGTTTCAGCTTTCTTTTCTTTTTTCTTTTTTTCTATAAGATTCATTTTTTTTAGCAGATAGAGGTTACGTTTTATTTTTTTTATTTTTTGAAAAAAGAAATATTTTTAAAGTTCAAATTGCATTATATTTTCACTTTTTTTGAAATGTTTGATACTTCTTTTACCTTCTAAAGTATTTTACCATTTAGATCACCAATAATGATACTTAAAGTCGTACAGCTAGAGTATAATTGTATTTTGAAGTAACGAGGGTGACAACACAAAATTTGCTCAAAACTACGTCATATATCTTTTTTGTGAACACTAAAATCTACACAAATTATCGTGAACTCTACAATCAAACTTTAATTGTTACTATTTCTTCTTTCTCATTGGAAGAATGTATATGCTTTGAAATTACCATCTATTATGTTATTTGAATGAACTTTTATATTTATGAGTCTTTATGGTGTACTTATATTAATAACCCTAATATGTGATCAATTGTTTAATCATCTTAATAGTAGTTTGAGTGTTTATCAATATGTTAACTAGATGTATTAAGACATTAATTATAAATTTATTGTCGAGATATTCTTGAAATATTATTCATACAATTCTCAATATGGTAATCTTATGTTTATTTTGATAGTTCTCAATTATAAAACTATCTGTGCGTGAAATTTTGTAAATCACACAAGTTCATTTTACTATATATATGTTTATTACATTTAAACTATCCAAAACATATGGATCATAAAACCTAAAATAGTTAGAAAAAAACTACTGCTTTTCAAATCTCATCAAGTAGTTTTTTATCCTCTTTTAAATTTGCAATATCATTTGTGTTAAAGGTGACATCACATAAAAAAAACTCTTAAAGAATATTATTATAAATAATAGAACGTTATATATAAATATATATGTATTATATATTTATCATTATATATTTTTTATTTATAAGTTTTTCAAAACCAAAAACACGTAATCATTCTTGAGTGTATGTTATATCTAGGAATGACAATAAGTCGGATCGGATACAGATAGTGTCTACCCGCAATCTAACCTGCAAAATGAAAACTTCACCGACAGTTCGTGCGGGTACTATTTTAAAGAAAACTCGCGGATATTTTCAAATCTGCGGATACTCACAAATATTAGAAAATATATATTTTATATATATTTTAAATAAAATTTAAATAAAATTACAAAAAAATATATCAAATTTAATATAAATGAAATAAAATATAAACTAAAATTTAATTTTAATTAAATTTAATAAAATATAAATTAATTTTATTTTAAATTAAACTTAATTAAATGAAATATAAATTAACTTTTGGTTTTTATTTGTGGGTAACGGGTACCTGTGGATCGGGTAGTATAATACTTGCACCCGACCCGTTTATAAGTGCGTATTAAAAAACATGCAACCCGTAGGTAGTAAATACTCGCAGGTACCAACTATCTGTCATGAATTTTATCTGTGGACATTTGTATACACAAATTTTTTTGCCATCTCTAATTATATCTCATCCAACATTTAGTTTATACTCATTTGTTAGATATGCACATATATTATGCACATATATCATCACATAACACTACTCTTCATCATCCCAATGAAGTATTTTGAAAAAAAATAAGCATTACATATAAGCTTTTTTAGAATGACATTTTAACTTGAATAATATATTTCTTACTTGATTTATCTTTCAATTGAGTGTTATGTTAAAACTTAAATGATATATTTGTAGAGCTCTTAAAATAGATTAAAACTCGTGAACTAATTTGACATATGATGGATTTGAGTAAGGTTGGGTTAAAAAAATTACAAATTTTAATATGGACCAAAAATGAATTTGGTCCACTAAGAACTTGGTTAATCTGAATTGAACTCGTGGTGAGCTGAGTTAACTCAACATCACAGACATAAAAAAACCCACATCACTCTTAACTTAATTGTTCAACTAAAAACACAAGCAAACATTTTTATTTAAATTTTGGAAAAGAGATATCCACGCTCATTATACTTCATTCACTCTTTACCTTTGTATTTATACTTTATTGAAGTTTGAGCTTTATTAAGATGAAGTCAATATGTTGGATTGACTTTTGAGATTATTTAAAATTATGATTTAGTTTTTGAGATGAATGACTTATTTATTGTTTAAAATGAAAAAAAAAATGAACATTTTGAATTTTGGCTACATACTAAAAAGAAAGTTAGATTAAAGAAAAAAAGTTATAATTTTTTTAAAATAAATGTAT